AATCTTCACTGTAACAACTATCACAAATCTTTGTGCAGAAGATGACATGCTAAACTTGGAATAAAATGACCCCAGACCAACTAACAGTATTTAAAAGTTTTGATTTTAATGGTTAAATGTATGATTCACTGAAAGAGCAGCCACTATTTTTCTTGAAGACTTCACATATCCGATAAACTCTTTAGATTCATATAAATACAGAAAAGTATACCAAGTTAAATGGTATAATTGCATTCTTCTGAGACTTCATCATTGAATGGTATATTTTCTCCTTTACTGTACTTGTCATTTCTATTTTACAGTTTCTATTTTTGTCTCTGTAAATGTAAATGTAACTACACTTTGCAGCCTGAAATTCTTTTTGTTACTTTCAGGTCTATGATACGGTGAACCATGAGGTTAACAGGTTAGTAAAACATTTTCTTTTACATTCCAGTGGGAACTAGTTGGTTAGGTCTGTCTTCCCCTGAACTCGAATGTCCTGTTTTGTTGACAGGCCCCCTGAGAGCTGTGGCTGTGCTGCTATTGGTGGGGCTCACCTGGCTGCTAGCAAACACCCTCTTTGGAGGGGAGAGTAGTTCATCTGTGCGGCATTTATTCACCGGTAAGAGAAGTACTTCTGAAATGATGAGTTAATTGACAGCCAATTAGTTGACTTTCGTTGGCTCTAGAGGTTTATTGAATTGAAACTTGAATATTTGTGCTTTTGTAATGTTCGTTGGGCAAGTTCTGGGAATTTAAACAGTGATGACGATTTAGAGACTAACGACTAATTGATACAGAAAATTATTGTTAGTAGCAACCCGAAAGACAAGTTGTAAGTGGGTTTAGTCTTGATGCATGTTTGGTGTTGTGTCTGTGTATAACATTAAAGCCTTTTTGATATGAGAAACTTCAACTGAGTGTGAAAATTGTGTATTTTTTTTAGGGGCAAGTGAGGAACCGACTCCTGGTAAGTACAAGAAACTGTATAGGATGACTCTTCCTTTCAAGCATCATCGTGATAATGTTGCATCCTTATTATCTTCCTTATCACCACTGACTAATGTATCATATATTCTAGCTGAAACCCGCCCTCGACGGTATAAATGTGGACTTTCAGCCCCCTGTCCCCCAAAACATTTGGCCTTCCGCCTGGTGTCTGGTGCCGCCAACGTCATCGGGCCCAAAATCTGCCTGGAGGACAAGATGTGAGATTCAACACTTACCCATCTCCTTTCATCTATGTCTTTGTCTCCCCTGCTGTCTCTCTTCTTTGTTTCTTTTTTTTTTGGTTTCACACTCTGTTCTTTTTTCCTCTTTGCTGTCATAACCAGGCCTCCAAGTCTGTCTGGGGAGCTGAATGCAAGTATTGTTTCAGACTGTCTGTCCCCCACTTCTTTGGTTTTGTCTTGACCCTTTTTATATTAGTTGGTGCTAGGCAGCGTTTATAAGTGTGTAGATGAATGTTAATGTGGAAGTGTTCTTCTTAGGTGCTGCAGTTGGTGCTTTAACCTCTTTTGTTTCTGTCTCACAGGTTAGTGAGCAGTGTGAAAAACAATGTCGGCCGTGGACTAAACATAGCTTTGGTCAATGGTAAGAGTGTCATCTTCCACCATTTAACCGATGGTGTTAATATTTTAAACTCCTGTTAACTGTGTTATTTTAACATCTGCCTGATGTTTCTTTGCTCTAGGGGTGACAGGAGAGCTCTTGACCACAAAGAACTTTGATATGTGGGCAGGAGGTAATAGAAACCAGACAGTAATGTATAGTATTGCACATCTGGCACATATGGCTTGGCAATAACAAACTATAAACCACACATAGCTCATCTAATGTTCTTTCTCAGATGTTTCTGACCTGTTGAAGTTTCTCCGGCCGCTCCATGAAGGAACACTCGTGTTCGTGGCTTCCTTTGATGATCCAGCTACAAAGTAAGAATCCACGATGTGCTATCAGTTCCAGCCTAACACGCCTCGTTTTTCCTCTGAGACGCACTTCACAGCAGTTTTCACTGATAAATTGTCAGCTATAGTCTGTATCTATAAAGTATATTTCATTTTATGACTTGGTTAATGTTTTGTTGAATAAAATAAATATGTGCCACTGCTACAGAGAATAGCATTTTAATAGCTAAAGAACTGGAGGGCCAATGTCCAACCAGTTTCATAAACCGACGGCTGATACTTGTCAACTTCACCTTTTATGTTCGAATAAATTCAATTAATTCATCTTTAAAATCTCACGTAAAACAAAAAAAAAAAAACATTACAGCACAGAAAACAACTTGCCACAACTTAGAGTAGGTAAACCAGCTGTCAGTTAACTATCAGAATCACTTTTATTGACCCTGTATGCACGCACATACAAGAAATTTGATGCATGTATATTTATATTTTAAACTGTATTTAAACAATGAGAATAAATAATACCATATCAGGTTTTATGCTACAAAACCTAATGTGAAAATTAGCATTTGGACACTGTAATTGTCATTGAAGGAGGTGAGCAGAGCAGTCAAGAATGAGTTCTTGTGGTGCCAGGAATCATAATTACATTTAATGTTTTTAGTTGCATTTCAATTAAATCTGATGGCTGGTTAATTTGTGACTGACAATGTTCATGTTCACAGATCCCTTGTTAAAGGCTTTGTAGCTTAGAAACAAATCAGGGTTGTAAAGTGGTTAAACCTCAGAGTTGAGCCATAAAGTGCCATTGAGATGTTGTCAAAGCCCAGGAGGAGCCTACTGAGAAATGTTTTTACATTTGCATTAACTGTCTTGCTTAATGGAACAGCCAACCCTCTTATACGTCCAGTGTGTAACACTTAAAAGGATCTATAGGCAGAAATAGAATATAATATTCACAGGTATGTTTTCATTAGTGGATGTTAACCTGAAATTAAGAAACACTGTGTTTTCGTTACCTTTAGAATGAGACATTTTTATCTAAAGACTTGGTCCTCTTCTACAGTTTCTACAGTAGCCCAGAGCAGACAAACCAAACACTGACTGTAGAGAAGGCCTTTTGTGTATCTTGTGAGTTTCATGGCCATAGTTTCTCCTACACACAGACTGAGCTGTATTCATATGGTTGCAATCTGCCACTGAATCCTACACACTGGTGCTTTAATAGACATTAAACTTCTACCTTATTTCCTCATTTCCGGTGACAGGTTGAACGATGAGTCTCGGCGACTGTTTGAGGAGCTCGGGAGCACGGCAGTGAAGGAGCTGGCCTTTAGAGACAGCTGGGTATTTGTAGGAGCCAAGGGCATCGAGAATAAGAGTCCTTTTGAGCAGGTATGTTACTGTTTCTATTAATGTTCAACAGAGGCAGGAAGAATAGGCAGAATACATCAGCTCATCTGATGCAATGCTAATTTGCAGACAGTTAACTGCTTACAAATGCTGCAATAAAATAAAAAATATTCAAGGTTATTGTCATTTACAACGTAGGGTGTATAATAAAATTCAGATTGTAGTTCACTTTATGCTACTCGTAACAAACAAAAACACATACTACAACATATTGCCATTTTGAATATTCAAATTCTAGCTTGTAAATTTGACAGCACATGATGAACAATATGGTTTGTTTTTACCAGCTGGCCAATGTGATCATGTGTCCTGTAGTGATGTCTACCAGACTGTTCTGAGCATTTTCCAAACCTGAACGTAGCATTTGAGATTTAGGATTTTCCTTCCATCCAAATTTGTTGGGAGTTGGATTATGCTGCATGTTACATAATGCGCTGTTTTTAAAACTTCTATGCTTGATGCATTCATGTGCTTAGAAGAAAGTCCGAAATTATGAGTATAATAACTTCTAGTGTGCTTTGGAAAACGATCTTCTCCCCTTACCCATCCACATTAACAATGAGTGGAGCACTTCACCATCCAGCAGCTGCGATGCAGTGAGGAGCTGATCCCGGCCTGTTTTGTTGACATTAGTTGTGTTTGCCTGTGGTTGTTCCCATTAGCGCATGAAGAACAGTAAGAGCAGCAACAAGTATGAAGGTTGGCCCGAGTCTCTGGAGATGGACGGCTGTATTCCTCTGCGGGCACCCCTGGAAGGATGATCGTGCCTGATTCTCTCTCACATACAGTACAGAAACACCTGGAGCCACAGCAGTGGATTCAAATGACTGTTAGAAAGCCAGGGAACTGCAGAATGACTAAAACTATCCAAGATCCAGGCCACAAACAACATTTTATTATCCCTCTCGTGGCAGAGACATGAGCTGACTGCGAGGATTGTCCTGGGACTTGATATATTTTTTTTTTTAAATGCTGGAACCTGTTTTAGAGGATTTGCGTGTTGAACTTTGTGAGCCGCCTTTGAGCTGAAGTAATGTTTTAGAAACAAGAAAAATGTTTGTGTTGGGTGAAGGGAAACTCGAGAGGACAAATGTTTGATGACCAAAGTGTACAGCGACTAGTGAATGAACACAGCTGGTGTAGGTCTTCCAGAGCCATTGTAGGAAAAAGAACATATTTGTGTAAGCCTTCCTGTAGGGTGTCAGTATTCTTGAAACGGAGGAATATGAAGCATTAAATACCTGCGCAACTTGATGTTCTGCAGGCTAAAGACACACCTAACAGGGTTCACACTAAGGCGATGGGAAACCTGAGCCACATCAGCATAGGAAAAATGTGAGGTACAGCGTAGTATGAATGTCCTACTGAACACCAGGTCTGTGGGCAGATTTTATATTTAAATCCACTAATATATTTTCCTCCTGTGATATATATTTCAGTAATATTGTTAATACTAGTGTTAGCTGTCATTGTTTCCTTAGAACTTGATGCACTGCAGTTATTGCTTGCCATGTTTACATTTAGGCAAACTTTACGTTGATCATTTTTCTGTGATAAAACTATTTATTTTAACACTTAATCGGAAAACATACAGACGGACACGACAGACTCAATAGTGTTGGTTTATCATAACGCCGCCCGTGGTTGTAATGTTGTCTCAGGCCTGCAAGCATCTTTCCACTGAGTGCTTTGTTTGAAGTATTCAGCCTAAATGTGTGGTTGTGTGTGTCGTTTTTTTTTGTTTTGTTTTTAAAGATGTTGAGTGTATCCACCGGGCTCCTTGCAAGCCTAACATGTAGGAAATGCACAGAAAATTAAATATTGTTTTACGTATATTGTTAGAATTCAATTTTAGCTGCTTGGTCCGAATCTAAATGTAAAAGATTTTTCTACAAAGCATTACACTGTCTTTATATTGTGACAATAATGCTAATAAATAAAAATGTCTCAACATTTCCTGTAGTTTTTGTTTTTGTTTTATTCAACTGGAATACTTAAAGAAATTCACCAGAGGGCGACAACAGACAAAGCTTCTCTGAGGTTACTCGGTTCACTGTGCTCAAGGCTTCACTGACCATATGTGCTGACGGGGATAAACTCTGGGACTGGTGGACAAGATTTCAGGTTTGACGGTGAATTCAGTGACAGCGCAGAACCGCGTTGCTCGGTGAATCGGTAGACTGTGAACGTAATAATGACAAACAGCATCAGTCTCATTGTTATATTGAAATGTGTTGTGGGGCCTTCAAGCGTTGTTGGAAAAATCGTGATTTCCAGTTGCGTGTTTACAAATGAGCTGTGTTAAGAGCTGTGGGTTATGTGATGTTCAAAGGCAGAGGGACAGGTAAATTATTGAGTTAGAATAACAGTGTAGTTTAATGCAAAGATTATTATCTGGACTTAGTTAGTGCTATTATGTGGGCCCACTTTCATATTTATTTATATTTAGTCTTTTTGGTTGCTTTTATGTCACAATTAAAGTTTTAGATGGGATGCATGCTATTACTCCACTTATGGTAATTAAGTGTCACAGCAGCAAAACCTGAATTCTGTGAACATTTTAAGCATTAGATAAAAATAGAGGTACTTAAAAGATGTGAGGCGGGAATTTCTTTTCACAGCCTCCACTCCACGTGTCTCATTCCCATTTTATGCTATTTTATATATCTATATTCGACTACAAGTCAGAGATTGTACTTTTTACTTCACTACATTCATCTGACAGCTCTAGTTACTTTTCAAGTCAAGATTTTTCCACATATGATCAGTAAAGCAGTTCAAATTAGTTCTGCCTTGACAACATTGAAATGCTGCTTGAATAAATGCATCAATAATAATATTCCAATAATTTATACAATGCTCAATGTGGTTGTTTTGTATTAGGTAACTCTGGATACTTACGTAGATCCCTTCTAGACGTATAGATAAAATAAGCACAAATAGTCTGCTTGGAACAATAATGTGTCTGATATGTCCCCCGCCCCACAAGTACAGTATAATTTCTACATTAAAACCCATAAAAAGACCTCTACTAAGAGCACGGAGAAACATATACATGAATAGTCCAATAAGCCAAGAGGGGGCAATTTAATTAACCAGCTCTTAAGAAGGGAGGCTTTTTGGATTTATGAACTAAACACAATTGAACCTCATGGACTTAATGAAGCACAGGATTTGAGCTGTTTGTTGTGACATAAATACTCTAATCTTATATCTCTCTATACAGGTAATTTGGACCCTTAGAGAGAGATGAGACACTAGGTCCCCTGGCCTCCCCATTCAGTGGTGTAGAGGGACAGTGGTAGGACCTACAGGATATTTCAGCTGTACATTTACAATAGTCTTCTTCTTGTTGTATGTAATGTGTAATTCTTGTGATTCTGTTAGACTGATCATGCTGTTCTTGAATTTATTTTCCTTTGCATTTTGCAATATGTATTTTTGTATTGTACATTTGTAGAATATATAAAACATTTTGAAATGAAAAATTAAGACTGATGGCACATGACTGATCATGTGACCCATGTTATTTATCTCTTAAATAAAATCACAATAAAGTTATTTCAGTGTGCGTGGTCACATCTGATTTCATAATCATGTATCTGTCTGATCTCTAAAATAAATACCACAGTAACCATAAACAATGTGACAATATAATTTACAGGCTCCTTAATATCAATAATAGAGTAAAAAAAACAATAGTTTGAATGCTCATTTTAGGTTTAACCCTTAGGGGTTCCTTTAAAAAAATCACACATCTGTTCCACCTTCGCAAAAACTGCTGTAAAAATCTTATAAATCAATATTTTTTTCTACTTTAAATGAGTCAATCTTTTAGAACTACTTCAGCTTGAAATATACATATATATCAAGCATTTTATTATATTTGGTGGATTTGTTAACCCTTTAAAAAGGCCCAATAGTGTTTACACATCTTCTGCTGTTTTTTTTATTGAAATAACAAAAAAAAGCTTAAATAATTTCCATACGAAGTAATGCCAAAGAGTATATGCTGGTTATAAATATTTTGGTTAGGGGACTGAGATAAAGCCAATGGATTGGCAGCAACACTTGATTTTTAATTGCCAATATTAGTTTTTTCTGCAGTGTCAGATTTTAAAACCAAAAAAATGCTACCAAAAAAAACGGAACGGCTGCTGCGCCGCGGCTGAATCTTACGAGGAGCATGGTTGAAACCGGCAACTATCGAATCACATAACGAGGCTTTGAGTGAACTTGAACCACGCGGCCGCCACGCCCTCTTCGTGGGGATTAATCGAGAGTGCGATTACGTGCGGCGCTCTTGGTTCTGTCCTTCGAGGCATAGACAGAGGTAGGACCCATAGTGGCAGTCGATGAGCTGTGCGTGACCAGAGGCGTCTGCTCAGTGCGACACGAGAAGCTGCTGATAGGCTCGTCGGTGTGTGAGTCTGTGGCGTGGTATGCTCGTTCGTTAGTGAATCTTATTGTGTACATAAGGCTTGCTGTATTTCTATGTGAATTCGGATGTGTCGACTATGAATGGCAGATACGCACAACTCGAGAGTCCTGACAGACCGGTATGCAGGGATGTGATAATGGGTATATCTGGTAGAGTCAAGCAGCACGACTGTGTCGTATGCGACGATGTGCTCGTCGAAGTCTGTCCGGGTGGTGGATTTTTCAAGCTGACACCCGCCGGCGGAAAGTGTCAACAGCTGATGGAAACCTATTATGAAAGAATGAAGACTAATTGTCGGGAGCAGGAGATGGTGATGTATTGGCTTTTTTTATTTTAAGTGTTAAATGCTATTTTTTTCAGAGGTGATATAGTGAAATATATATATATATATTATAATAATTTTGAGTAGGCAGACAGTCCAGTGATAGGAATTCATGCTAAATTAAGTGTTGGTTAAATAATAAGTAATAATATAATAAGATAATGGATATAGTAGTAATAACTAAAAATAATATATTCTGAGTTAATAGTATTATTTGGTATTCACAGTGATGTGTAGCTATAGCTATCTGCGCTGAGTCTGCTGTTTTTCTTTGAAAGAAAGTATATCGCTGTGGACCGTACCGACCTACGGGATGCCTACATGTTGGGGTGGTGATGTTTGTTGTCATTTTGCCTATTGAGTCTCTCTTT